TAGAAAAAATTTTTGCTCTTAAGACAAGTATTAATTTTTACAAGTAAATTACAAAATTTATAATAATTAAAATTATATTTTTAATTCAAACTATAAGGTTGTATTAGAAACTATGAGTCTAAAATCAATATTTAAAAAGTTTGTCATAAATTAACTAAAAAATTTTTTTTTAAAAAATTATTTTTAAAATTGTATATTTTGGTTCATAAGTAATCTAAATTTTTTTTCTTATAATCTAAAAATAAATACTGCAAAAAAATAATCTTTATTTTTAAATATAATTGTACAAAGTTTTATTTAATTTTTTTAGTTTTTTAAAAAAGTAAATCAGAGCTAAAAAAGTGCAAAAACGCAGGCAAATTTGCTTGCATTCTACTACAATCTAAGAGATAACTTTAGTTATTGTTTATTTAAAAGCTCTGCTATATTATTATAATTATTCTTCATATATTATATCTAAAATCTGGCTATAAATATCTTATTTAAACTTTTTAATTTAAACTTTTCTATACTATATCCTAATCTCATCTCATTTAGAATATAAGATATATAAATCATTTTATTCTTTTAAATTATTATAAACTACCTATAAATAACTATTTTTAGAGGGTGTGGTGACTTAGTGTAGTTGGTAAGTTGTCACACCCCCAAGTGGCAAGACAAGAGTTCGAATTTCACCAGCAATGAAATTCGAATTTACAGAATGTGTAATAGTAAAACTGTATGACATTTCGATCGAATAAGTGTCTGTGACTTTGGTCGCACCAGCTTGTATTGGAAGGTTGCAAAAAATAGTGTGATACATAAGTTATATGAAACCTGAGTGAAGCAGCCAAATAAATCTAAGAGATCGGGGATACAGAAGCCTGTTTGAGAAGTTTCAAGTAAAGTAGTAACAAATCTTTGACAATACTATATAAAGGAATAACATCTAAGAACTGAATACTAGCAGTAAACTAAATGAGGACCAAATGTTTGGCAAGCACTACACTAACCAGGTCGCCAGATTAACTGGAAGAAAAAGGATTTATTCAGAATACTAGATGACATTTACTGATCCCTCTTAGGCCATCTGGATTAGAAGTTTAGAGTACTATTAGTTGGTATCAAAGTACTGTTGATAGTCTGTAAAGTGAATATTAGGGTTTGGGTAAACTTTGCAAGAGTGCAGAGTAGATAAAGTAGCAGAGATAAAAAGCTGCAAGTACTTAGCCATGGCCTAATTGTAAATTACTGAAAACCTAGATAATATATATGTGAGATTATTATAAGGATAAAGTAGTCCTAAGGGGCCTTAGTGGTAGTTTCTCTTTGGGCAGAATATTCAACAGCACCAAGTTGATCAGAGGGTTTAATTAAGTAACTTAAGTAATAGTGGATTATAGGTATAGTATCTAGTGTAGTATTTAGTAATAAAGAACTATTTAATTAGGTACTCAAAAGGTACAGATATGGCTAGAATATATCCTTATTAATGTAACAAAGTCAAAAGTAGTCCATGTGGTTGCTCTGGCATTCAATTTAAAGTTTAATAAAATAAGCCAAACCCCAAAGTGATCACCTTAACATTAAAAAAAAAATAATAACTATTTTTAGAATATATTACTTGCTAAAGCATTCTAATATTTATTATTATTATATTGTTTAGTTTTCTTTAATAACTTATATTAAGTTTAAAAACAAGCTATAAACTGTTACTGTTATCTACTTAGCTTTTATAAAATTTATCTAAACCTCTTTTCAAAACTACTTAATATCTTCTTTTTTAATACCTCCTTGCTAATCTTTTCAGACTATCAATTCAAATAGTCTAATATAATATCTGCTTTACAAATTCTTTTTCTCTATTTAATATTTTAGTAATCTAATTAGTAAAGTACCTTTCTAAAATATTTAATTTATTTAGTTTACTGATTTTAGGTATAGTTTATTTTAATAACTACTATCAAAAAAATTTATGCTATTTTTCTACTTGGGTCTTTGCCAAGTAAATATCTATCTTTTCTAGTTTTTTAGATTTATATAATCATAAAGATTTATTTTAAGTTTGTATTATCTAAAGCTAACTTGTATATTTTTATATAACTTATATATTATATAAATATTTACAATCTTTTAATTTTGTTAATGCTACCAAAGTTACAAAGATCCTGTTCCAACTAATTAACAAAGCAGTAGCTATCATACAAGCAAAATATTTAAAATACTGCTTGGAGTGCACTTAATCACTTTATTAAGTCACTACATTCTAAATTATTTTTATATTTACATTAATATGTATATTAATAAAATTATTTATAAGGATATATAGATTTCAATTTTACAATTTAATTTAATTAAAAATTTACAGTCAGACCTCGATATAATCACCAGGTTGGGAAACAAATATTTGGTGATTATAAAAAAGTGTGACTATATTAAGGTCAAATTTTATATGTTTATTAATGTCTAGGATTAAGAAATAGCGTGACTATAACAAGGTTGTGACTATATCAAGAGTGACTATAACGAGGTCTGACTGTATTTGTTAAAATTTAGCAATTAGTTATTACAGTATTATATAGATATAAAAACCAAAGAAATTAATACTATATTATTACGGCCTCATCTTTGAAGATTAAAAAATAAAAAATAAAAAAACTATATTATTACAGTATTACAAAGTATGTTACACTGCATTAAAAATTACATTATGATTTAAAAATACAGAAATTTCGATTTATATTGATCTAATCAATATTTTTCCGTCCCATAAGAGGTACAGGTGAACTTGTCCGTAGCTTGTAATAACTATAACTTACAACAAGTTACGGAGTTTCGCCTGCGCCCTAGTTTATAATCGGGTGACAAATTCAATGTTTTGTAATACAACAAGATTATCAAAAAAATTGATTGGATAAAAAGTGTCATTGAACCTAAAAATGTCCTCGCTGCGCCTCGGACAATAAATCATTTATTAACAGTTTTTCAAATCCCGATTATACGCCAAAAAACTTGTTTAAACAAACGTATATAAATATATCTGCAAAATATCAAGTCCATTTTTTTCATTTAATTTTTTATAACTTGAAACTTTTCTATATACACGTATAAACTCGCGAAAAAAATGACTTTGATGTCTATTGGAAAAACGCTGATGAAAAAATGGTTTTTTCTGTCTCCTTCTTATTTTATCGTTTTCTTTTTGTCTTGGTTTGGTCTTGGTGCCACGCCAATTCCGATAGCTCCCTTTTTGAACCTTCCATTAATCTTAATTCTTGTTCGATCCAAATCTTTAAAAGTAAATACTATTCCCCTATTTTTTGCTATTGCAATTGGCGCGGGACTTTCTTATCATGAACCTGCATCGCCATTTGGAAATTATTATGATGATTTCAAAATTCTAGTTGCGGTTGGCTGCGTCATTTCAACTTTCACCCTAATTCCTATGATTATAGATAAAATTTTATTAACTCGCACCAACATAACAGAACTCACAGACAACACCTGGATCATCTTTCCGCTGCTCTGGACAGCAACATGGTCTTTAATTCGCAGGTATTCTCCATTAGGTTCATGGGGAGACTGGGCATATACTATTTACAATTCAGGATATACTGGTGATCCATTGATGCAAATGGCAAGCATCGGCGGTCTTAGCATTATAAATTTGTTTCTTGCGTTTTTCGCACAATTTGTAGCGGATTATATGATATATAATTATAAAATTAAAAGAATGAACATTCAACAGAACGATGAATCTTTACCATATTCTGAAGAAACACCTTTATTAAATAGATACGATAGTTCGATAAATAATCGGATTAAAACTCTATCAGAACAAAATTGGTATTTTATGATTACATTAGGTATTCTGTTTCTTGCTTTACTTGCTGGTGGTTCATATAGGCTCCAGTACATAGAAGATAACAATGAACCATTGAAAACGGTAACAATTGGATGTGTTTTACCTACAAATGACATTTCAATAGAAGATTTACTTAAAAGTTCAGATATTCTTGCGAACAATCATAATAGCAAAATCGTGCTTTGGTCAGAATCAGCAATTAGCATCCGAACTCAAAACGAGTTTGATTATATGATTGGTAAAGCAAAGAATCTAACAAAAACAAAACATTTTTTCCTCGGCATAACCTATATCATGGGAAATGACGTAAATAGTCACCAGAAAAAAAATATGTTGACATTAATTGGTCCTGAAGGTGATATAGTATTTAATTATCAAAAGGTTCACCCAGTTCCACTTGTAGAATCTTACTATATTGAAGGTGGACAAAATGATCCACCTATTAAAAACATCACGTTCCCAAAAACCAAATATGATCGTGATACCACGAGCATGATCGTGAGTGGGGCTATATGCCTCGATATGGACTTTCCGGAATTGCTTGGAAAAGCTGCAGAAGCATATCTGGTGCTTTCACCAGCGCAAACATGGTCTGCGCATATTGGTCTCCAACATCTGAGAATGGCATCTGTTCGGGCAATAGAAAACGGTTACTGGATTTTAAGATGTGATGGGAGCGGTGCTTCGGGGCTCGTTGACCCTTTGGGCCGCGTTCGACATCTAGAAATATCAACAAATACGAAGAATACACAATTATTTAGCTGGGATATTCCAGTTGAAGATCCAAAAATTGAAACAGTCTATGCAAAATGGGGTGAATATTCCGTGTGGGGAACATTAGCATTACTTTCGGTTTTGAAGTTAGGTTGGATAGCTTCATGGACTGCGTTTCCCGATAATATGGAAAATATGTGGGATGGTGGTATTAAAAGAATTAAAGATGGACAACGCTGGATCGAACAAAAATATAATGAAGTATTTGATGATAGTCACAGTATTCAATAATATTTTTATAGCTCACACATTTTATATATAATCTCTCAGTTATCACTAAATGTCATTTCTTATTATAATGAATTCCCGATGTAGTTATGAATAGTTAGTTAATATAAAATTAATAAAAATTTCTTATGTTCTTTCTAAATATGTACATATTTTTAATACCAATTCCATTTTGACAACATCATACTATTTTTCTGTAAATATTTAATCGCTTATACCATTATCGTTATGGTATTAGCTTAGATGCATGAAAATCAAATGCATCACGTAAACACCGAAAAATTCGCGTATACATGATTACACGAAGATTGTGCCGTAGTACTTTTAGGTGTATACGTAAACCTTAGTCTTGGATGTAATTGTTAGACGTTACTTTCAAATTTCCTTCAATTAAAATTGACGTTGTAGCTTCAAAATAGTAAATAACGTACAGTGCGTCATATTTTAATCGGTATAATTTAATAACGTTTTTCAAAAAAATAAGCAATTTTATTTGATTTTTTTGTACTATATTCAATTTTACATCGATATTTATTATATTGGTCCTTTCGCAATTTTTTTATTATAATAACAACTATTACTTGTATTTGATTAG